TCACCCCCTCTCTCTCTCTCTTTTTGTTTTTAAAGGAAGAAATTAATTGATGTGTGAGTTGTTGGTTGCTGTTCTGAAGAAGCCTGGGTCTGTTTTGTTTTTTTTTAAATTTGACTGTTGTCTTTTTCTTTTTTCTTTTTTTTTTTTTTTGGCTTTCTGACTCAATGTGTTTGCTGGTCAAACGAGGCCGTTATTTGAATGAGTGAGTGGTTGGCGGGTGCTCCGGTGTGTTTTGATGTTTCTTTCTTATCAAACATCTTTCATCCTTATCTCTCCTCTCTTTTTTTGTATGTTATCTTACCTATTTGCTTTGCAAGTGCTGTGAAACTTTTACTTCAACTTAAACTGAAAAAAAAATACAACTTCATTCATGGATGTTTGGTGGACGCTTTGCTCCTGCTTTCCTATCAAAGATCTATCATCCTTTTCTCTCCTCCTCGTTTTCTTTGTATGTTACTCTCTAGTAATACCTCGAATATTCGGCACTTAGTTGACCTATTTTTGTTGCAAGTGCTGTAAAAGTCTTACTAAAACGGGAACTATAAAGAAACAAAACATACAACCTTATTCCACAGGCTAACGTGGACGTGGATCTGAACGGCGTGCGGATGAGTGCGGTGGCCTCCCGGAGAGACGTGATCGAGGCGTCTGGCCGAGCGCTGGTGGACTGGTCGCAGGAGTTCATCGCCCCTGTCCAGATGTATGCTGGGATACAGGTGGCCAACAGCATCAAGCTGAGAATTCCCCCGCCAGGTAGGTCACCCGTGGGGGGTCAACATAAGCTGGAAAATCGAGAATTCAAGAAGAAAAATGTTATTAACCCCCTGCATTGCTAAAACGTTTCCGACCTTCTTTGTACAGAAAAGATAACATGTTCATTTAAACTAAACACTCATTTGAGAATGAGCAACCAAACATCTCCTAGAATTTCCTACTGGCCAGTAGCGTGGACGGTTGGCGGGTGCTTTGATGTGGTTTGCTCGTTCTTTCTTATCAAATCAGAATAACAAACGGATGTTCTTTCCTACTAAACATCTATCATCTATGGTTCTTATCTTCCTTCTTCTGCTACTCTGCTACTCTCTTGTTAGACTTCTAATCTTCAGCAGTAATATGACCTTATTGTGTTGCAAGTGCTGTAAAACTCTTTAGTAACCTAACAGTATTGAAAAAGCATTTAATCTTATACGTTTGCCATATGCGTTTTCTGTTAACCGTATGCGTTTGTCATATGCCTTTTCAGTTAACCGTATACATTTGTCATATGCGTTTTCAGAAGTCAGGGTTTGGCCACCGAGAGACAACACACAGTCTGGGTCCCCCTCATCGTCTGACAACCACCACAACCACCACCATCACAACAGCAACAACAATAACAACAACAACAACAATAACAACAACAAAGGCGGTTCCTCGGACTGCCGGGAGAAGACTCACCGCGAGGGTCGTATCCGTGGTTACGGGACGCAGCAGACATTCAGCAAAATGATGAAGACATGGTGCGACAACACACATATCACTGTCGCTGTCTCCAAAGCCTTCATCAAGGTAGCCACTTTCTTACTTTGGCTTTTTTTTCGCACGTGTATGTATGCACGGGTGTGTGTGTGTAGATGTGTGTGTATGTAAGGATGGGCAGGGCTTCAAAGCTTTCATAAAAGTGGGCATTTTTTTTTTCTTTTGCAGTTTTTTTTTTCTCACTGAATGGATGGTTGGCAGGTGCTGTGGTATGGTTTGCTCCTTTTTTACTATCAAACATCTATCTTCCTATCTCGCCTCCATTTGTGTGTTTGTTACTCTCTTGCAACACACTTCTGATATTTGGCACTTATTTGACCTATTTCTTACAAGTACTGTAAAACTCGTGACTGAATTGATGGTTGGTGGGTGCTCTGTTATGGATTGCTCCTTCTTTCCTTTCAAATGTCTATCATCCTGATCACTCCTCCTTTTTTGTGTTTGTTACTCTCTTGCAACACACCTGTAATATTTGGCAGTTATATGACTTTATTGTGTTGCAAGTGCTGTAAAACTCTTAAAGCCTGATTCCGCATTTGGACGTCTTTGTTGACATCCGCCCCTTGGCGCTCATATGACCTTATGCTTTTGCGAGCACCGTAAAACCTTACTAAAACTAAAAATGAAACTTTTACTGAACTAACCAGGTGACTGGGCTGGACAAAAACAACATCACGCTGAGGGACCCGACCTGCGGAATGACCAACGAGACGTCTGACCACATCATCCTGAGAGCCGGCCAGGGCAACTGCGGCACGCGCATCCACTTTGACCACGACCAGATCTCTTTCTTCAACGAGGTACGTGCAGCAGCCGGAGTGTCGGGTCTTGGGTGGGCTGGTCAGTCATCTCTGTGTGCTTCTTTTGGTCAGCTGCAGGGTGGTGATTGAGGGTCGTTCGGGTGGTGCGGTTTGCTGTTAACTCTTTATTTCGGAGAGGGTAAACCCACTACACAGGGTCCCTTCTTGCTACTAAATCTAAAAATAACAAAAACGTCATTAAATGGATCATTAACCCTCATCCTGCGGGAGCCGGGTTTATGTAGCCCGATAAGCCTATTTCGGCACCTCGCCTGCGTTCTGGTCCCGAGTCAGTGTAGCTCCTGGCTCAGCGCACGCACATCCTCTTACGTGTCTTTCGGGTCCCGAGTCGGATCCCCATTCACGCAGGTCAGGTGTGTGTGCGTCAGTCTGCTTGAGTTTGTGTGCGTTTGTGGCCTTCTTCTAGAACCACCTGCGTTGGTTCGTAATCGAGGCATACGTCTCATTCAAAACATGCCAAGTTGATAGCTCTAGATGTTCATCCAATGAAATTATAGAAGAAATTGACCCACTTAGACATGAGGAGCTCGAAAGGATAGTCAGGAAACAAGACTTCCATTTTTCTATACAAAATATTTCAAATGAGCTTGATTTTGTATGAAATGATACTACCTGATAAAAGATGAGCTTGTTTAATAGTTTTGAATACCCTTGTGCAGGTACAAAGAACAATTTGAGTGTAAAACATTCGGAAATTGACCTAAATTATCCCTTTTCGAACCTCAGGTCATTCATAACAACAAGAGCGTCCAGAAAGGTTATTCAAATGGGCGTAACTACTCGTAATGTCTTATCAGCTTGTGAGAGGGGGTTATTCATGTGTTTGTAACACTTTATAAATAGAATACTATGAAGGATAGAGCGTTATTTTCATCATCAGTTAACACACTCCCGCGGTATTCATGGCGAAAACACACGTTTCCCGGCGCGCGCGCTGTACACCAACAGTACACACTGAGTGACCCCGGCGGCCTGCCTGGCGAGTCCGACGTAATCGGTTGCTGATAAGATACGCATCTGGGCACAGACGCAGGATAAGAGTTAAATCAAAATATGTGAACCAAATTTGATAGATCTTTATCTTGTGAATGAACTCCCAGTAAAAGAGACCTGTTTTCTGCAATTGCTGAAAAGCAATTTGATGTCAAAGTCGTAAAGGAATAGGCTGAGCCGAGCCGAGCCGAGATAAAAAGTTAAACATCCATCTTCATTATCTCTCCTCCTCCTTTTTTCTTTGTATGTCACTCTCTTGTAGTAATACTTTTAATCAGTGGGAGGTTGGCGGGTGTTCTGGTTTGATTTGCTCGTTTCTTTCTATCATGCATCTATCGTCCTTACCTCTCCTCCTTTTTTGCTTTCGTTACTCTCTTGTAACATCTCTGATCTTCAGCACTTTGTTACTTCAGAACTATTTTGTCCAAAGTGTACTTAAGTTGTTGTTGTTGTTTGTTATCGATCCAGCAACAGCTGGGCTCTCGCCCTTCTGTCCAATGCCATGTAGTGATTAGTGCAGGTTTGCTGCAGTTGCTGTAAAGTTCCATAGAGTATGTTGTCAATGTTAGGTCTCGGAGGGAGAAGGGTAGCTCTGATGCCATTTAGGGCTGTGCAGTGGAACAGGTGATGATCCACAGTCTCATATGCATAGTCACACAAGGGACACATCGGGGGAAGTTCCGGGTTTATTCTGTTCAGGTGGAAGTTGAGCTGTATATGTTCTGTTCGTAGGCGGAAGATCGTGGTCTGTTTCTTTCGTACTTAAGTAAAGAGGCCACTTTGTCCGAAGTTGTTGTGAGGCGACGACTTATACGACCTTTTTGTGCCCCAAAACTTTTACCAAGACAAACTTCTTATGACATGACAATAAGTGTAGCCTAACCATTAATAACAAAAACGCCATTAAATGGATCATTAAATCAAAATATATGAACCAAATTTGATAGATCTTTATCTAATGAATATGGCGTCAGTGGCCTAGTGGTTAGGCTCTCGGACTCACAACCGTAAGGTCGTGGGTTCGATTCCCGTCAGAGACCCGACGTTGTGTCCTTGGAAAAGGCACTTTACACAAATTTTCCTCACTTCACTCGGGTGGGAATGGGTGCCCGGCTATAGACAGCGAAAGATCTTGTCAGTTTGTTTGTGTTTGAGCGCTTAATCAGCTGCTTGCACTGTATGCTTCCCAGGAAGCTGAGAATGTTTCGGAGTGTTCTATGGTCTGCTGGGGTAATAATATAGTGTAAAGAGCATAGAGCCTGCTGTTGAGCGGGATATGCGCTATACAAATGCTATTTATTATTATTATTATTATGAATGAACTCTGTGTGTGTGTGTGTGCAGCTGGTGATCCACACGTCCCCGGACCTGGTGAGCAGCCTGCTACAGGAGGAGCTGGGCAGTGGCTACTCAGAGGAGGAGGCGGGCTCTGGTGCCAGGGACGCCGGCCTCTACATGGACGACGAGGACGAGGAGGCGGGCTCCAAGGAGCTGCCCTTCCCCGTGGAGTGTAGCTCCCCGCTCATGCCAAAGGTGGGTGGGGTTGTTTGGTTGGTTTGTTTGTTTTTGTTTGTATGTGTGCACAAAGTGTAACTGTCCACTTGTGGTCAAAGTGAATGGCTATGTTTGTTTGTTTGCTTGTTTGTTTGTGAATGTATACAAAGTGTAACTGTCCACTTATGATCAAGGTGACTGGATCGCTAACAACAACATGATCAAGGTGAATGGCTTTGTTTTTGTTTGTGTGTGTTTTTGTCTAAATCTTTATGAAGTGAAGCTGCCGCTTTATGATCCAGGTGAGTATATTTGTTTGTTTGTTTGTTTTTCTTTGTGTGTGTGTTTGTGTATATCTGTATGAGAGGTATCTTCCTTGTTACGGTCAAAGTGAGCGCATTTATTTGTGTGTCTGTTTTTGTTTGTTTATATATGTGTGTGTGTGTGTGTGTGTGTGTGTGTGTGTGTGTGTGTGTTGTCAGTGAAGCAAAACGTTACTCAAACTAAACTTTCCCTCTTTACTCTCCGCCTCCTCAGAATCCTGCCGTCCAACCAGAGCCGAGCCGTGGGTTCCAGTCGGAGTGCGAGCTGAACCTGTACAAGGACTTCCTGTTCCTGCGACCCACAGTGCACTACCCAGCCACGCTGACTAAGGGCAGCACTGTTTTTGTGAAAGCCTCACTCTCAGGTGTGTGGACATGGTGGGAGGGAGGAAGATGGATGGATGGGCATTGGGAGGGGGAGGAGGAGGAGGAGGGGGAAAGACAGAGAGGAGAGACAGAGAGGAGCAGAGGAGAGGCAAAGCTGCACTTACCAAGAGATTGATAGTCAAAGGGAGGTGTGGGGGTAGAGAGGGGGGAGGAGAGATCCAAAGAAAGGAACTTAGGAGAGGCATACCGGCACCTAAAATGAGATTAATAGTCAGAGGGAGGGGTGGGGGTATGGGTGGAGGAGGAGAGAAGCAAAGAAAGGAGCAGAGCAGAGGCAAACCAGCACTTAGTAAGAGATTGATAGTCAAAGGGGAGGGATGGGAGGGGGGAGGAGAGACGCAGAGAAAGGAACATAGGAGAGGCAACCCAGCACTTAGTAAGAGATTGATAGTCAAAGGGAGGGGTGAGGAGCAGAGACAGAGAGGAGCAGAGGAGAGGCAAAACGACACTTAGAAAGAGATTGATAGTCAAAGGGAGGGGATGGGGGAGGAGGAGGAGAGACAGAGAGGAGCAGAGGAGAGGCAAAACGACACTTAGAGATTGATATTCAAAGGGAGGGTGGGGAGAAATAAACTTAAGAGTAGACAGAAACACAAGACAGACATAGAAGGTGGCGTGTTGGTCATCACAGAACTTCTGCCACAGAGCTTTGAATTGAATATGAAGAAATGAGCTGCATGTTTATTTGGTCACTTTTAAGCACAAAGGGGCTATCCCGAAAAATGCTATTTTGAAATCGAAGGTAAAGTTTTTGGACCCTTGTTCAGTTGCTTTAAAAGACAAGGAGAGTTTTTTCTATTACCAAACCAACATACACACCAATGAAACCAAACTTATCCTTAGGTAGGGCAATGCCCACTTTTGGTGTAGGTCAAGATTTCTGGAAACCCCCGAAATCTGGGTTAGCCCACTTTTCCTTAAAAGCGACCTTTTGTCTATTTATTGGTTTCGTTATTTTTGTTTTGTTATTTGTTAACTGATTCCATCGATTCGACCGCTGACAGCGGCTCTGGGTTTTTTCAGTGCCACCATTTGACTGCTGTGCGCGCCTCAACGAAATCTGAGTGAAATCCGAAACAAATGTGCACTTTTTAACATAGTCCCAACATTTTAAGTTGTCAAAAGGAATTAGAACTTGTAAATAAGCCTGACCTCAATCTCTGAGAGGCAAAATGGATAAAAACTCTGCGATGTTCCTGCAGAAATCGTTGTTTTGTTGTCGGTTTGTAAGAGTAAACGACACGTAGCCTGGTATAATAAAAAGGCCCTTCAGTGAAAGGTATTCAACTTAATTTGTGAAATTCTTGCATAAATGTGTGCTATGGTGATATCACTACAATTTTGTGTTGATTCCTATGGATTATAAGGAATTGTAGAGTTGAGAAAATGAGGTTAGATGAAATTTTCAAAGAGGTGTTGCGCAATTTTTTTTACTCATTGGTTTTTGTCTGAGGGAAAATACAGTACAAACCGAATATAAATCATTGTTATTGATAAAAACAGATTCCTCTATTGATCCCCTTCAGTTTGGTTATAATTAATACATATTAGAGTAACTTACAGCTTCACAGTAATGCATTAAATAGATGCACCCCAGGTCAAAAACTGAACAGGGAAAAATAGTTCTGTCCAGAGCCTGAAAAAATCATGGATGGAATAAGTTAAGTTGTTTGTTTGGTTATTTGTTTAATGATTTATTTGTTTGTCCTGCAGGCCTGGACAGCACACCTCAGATAGACACGTGCTGGCTGTCCCAGTCTCAGAAGGCAGAGAGCCACCTGCCGGCCTCCCACCATTCACCTCACCACCCACACCACCAGCAGCAGCAGCATAGGCATGTCATCATACAGAAAGGGTGAGTAGAATCATTTGATTAATAAGCCTGTCTTACCTTTTCTCTGCGCTAAATTACCATAATTGTTTGGTTAGTAGACTCGTCTTACCTTTTCCTTACTTTAAATTGTCTTAATTGTTTGGTTGGTAGGCCTGCCTTACCTATTCCCTACTCGAAGATACCCACCCAAATCATTTGGTTGGTAGGTGTATATTACCTTTCCTTACTCTAAACTATCCTAATCGTCTAGTTCTCTAAATTGCCATAATTCTTTGGTTGATAGGCCTGTCTTACCCTTTCCTCACTCTAAATTACCCTAACCATTTAATTGGTAGGCTTTTCTTCTTTTCTCACACTGACTCAAGTCATTTCTTGTCGTCCTCAGATGCCCGAAAATCCCCGAAGTCAAACTCCTGGACAAATCGTCTGACGTGCCGGAGGGTTCGAACCTGCTGTCCACCAAGTTCAGCCTGAGGATGACGGAGGTGTTTGGCACGGCGCCGCTGTTCCTGCACTGTATGCTGTGGTCATGTGACCGTCGGGGAAGAGACGGCAGCAAGGTCGGTGTGAGCGTCTGCTTGTTGTCTACATTGCATCCTCTGGTTAAAATTAAGTATGAAGACACACACACGCAGGCACGCATGCACACACACACACACACACACACACACACACACACACACACACACACACACACACACACACACACACACACACACACACACACACACACTCACACACACACACACACACGCAAAGGAAAAAAAAATTGTCTGGTAGAAGAAGAGAATCGTCACACACACACACACACACACACACACACACACACACACGCACAAAGAAAAAAAATGAGTTTGGTAGAAGAAGAGAATTACAGTATTATTATTGCTGTGTTTAAAAAAAACATCAGTTCCAGTGTTTGAGTGAGAGATGGGTGGTTGGAGGGTACATCTGATGGGTCCTTCTTAGTCACTATTCCACTATTGTGTCTTGTCCATCTATGTGCCTGTCTGTCTATCTATCTATCTGCCTGTCTGTCTATCTGTCTGTCTGTCTGTCTTGTCTTGCTTCTTGCTTGTGCTGAAGACCATTATCATTTCAATGAGTTACTTTAACCCAACATGTGTTGGTGTTTGTCCCTGCCCTTTTACTGGGTCTTGAACCCATGGGTGGATGGTGGGTGCTCTGGGGTAATTTTCTCCTTCTTACCCATCAAACCTCTGTCATCCTTTTCTCCCTTCTTTATTTATTGTGTTTGTTACTCTCTTGTAACAACTCTAATCTTCGGCACTTATATGACCTTATTGTGTTGCAAGTGCCGTAAAAACATGTTTACTAAAACGAAACTTGAACCCTTGCCTTCCAGTGCCCGGTGGAGGGAGGGGAGAGGTGTCGCCGCGGCAACAGTTCGTCCAGCAGCTCTCACGACACTCAGTGCGGGCCGCTCACGCTGGGACCCATCGAGCTCACTGACAAGGAGGTGCACATGCAGCCTGAGACAGGTGAGATCAGTGGGGACGAACGAGATCCATAGCTGCCCCTTTATATTTATCTTGGAGGGGGGTAAGCCCTCTATGTTGGGGGCTCTTTTTTGGACCTAAATTTTTTTAATGACAAAAACATCACTAAATTGATAATTAAATCAAAACAAGAGAACCTGTTTCAGTTCTTCTTCATCTAATGAATAAACTCCCTGTAAAAGAGACCTGCTTTTGGCAATTTCCAAAGAATAATTTGACGTCAAAGTCGTTTCAAAGGAATGTGCCTGAGCCGCTGGCCAGTGGATCACCGGCACAGAGGTTCTGACCACGAGCCCTGGGAGCGGCTCGCTGGAGATGAGGAGTTAAGTCATTCTATAAGATTCCTAGCTGCCCAATTGTATATTAAAAAATTGTATTTATAACTTTTTTGAGGGTCAGAATAAGAAAGTCCCTTTTTCTATTGCAAAATGTGTATTGTATAGATTCATAGCTGCCAACTAGTGTTTGAGTACGGAAGTCCCTTTTCTATTGCAAAATGTGTATTATATAGATTCATAGCTGCCAACTAGTGTTTGAGTACGGAAGTCCCTTTTCTATTGCAAAATGTGTATTATATAGATTCATAGCTGCCAACTAGTGTTTGAGTATGGAAGTCCCTTTTCTATTGCAAAATGTGTATTATATAGATTCATAGCTGCCAACTAGTGTTTGAGTACGGAAGTCCCTTTTTCTATTGCAAAATGTGTATTATATAGATCCATAGCTGCCAACTAGTGTTTGAGTACGGAAGTCCCTTTTCTATTGCAAAATGTGTATTATATAGATTCATAGCTGCCAACTAGTGTTTGAGTACGGAAGTCCCTTTTTCTATTGCAAAATGTGTATTATATAGATTCATAGCTGCCAACTAGTGTTTGAGTACGGAAGTCCCTTTTTCTATTGCAAAATGTGTATTATATAGATTCATAGCTGCCAACTAGTGTTTGAGTACGGAAGTCCCTTTTTCTATTGCAAAATGTGTATTATATAGATCCATAGCTGCCAACTAGTGTTTGAGTACGGAAGTCCCTTTTCGTATTCGAAAATATATATTCTGTTTTTTTATATGGATTTGCAGATGCTGAAGAAAAATATTGAACGTTCAAGAAGGGATTTGTGTGTAATAGTAATAGTGTGAACAATGTCTTTGTGTAGTTTGGAGATATCTTATATTGCGGGTCTACTGTAAATAGCTTGGATTTATTGAATGCAGAAAAGTGTGAGTGGAGGGTTGGAGGGGAGTTGCTTGGCCAGTGCCCACCCTTGTAGCCAGCTGAATCAGATGAGTCTGGGGTGGGGTTTTTTGGGTTTGAAAAGTTTGCAGCCATAATGGATTCTGTCCCGCGGAAAAGGCAAAGGGTTGAAATGAAAGTTGTTAATGATTATTGTAGTGATTGAAGCAGTAGTAATCGCATTATATTGTTCTTAATAACAATAGAAATTATGTTTAAAATAGTGGTTTTTATTGTTGTCATAATTAATGGTCTTATTATTGTCATCATCATTATTGTTATTGTGGTCATTGTTATTGTTATCATTATTGTCATTATTATTGTTAAAATTACTATTATCATTGTTGTTGTTGTTGTTATCATTATTGTTGTCATCATTCTCATTGTTCTGACGGTCATTCCCCTCCCTCCCCCTCCCCCACCCACCAGGCGGTCAAGGCAAGAGCTCGGTGTCCACGGCCAAAGAGCCGTCGTCGGGCCAGCAGCAGCGCGTGATCATCGAGGGGCTGGACTCTGTGACTGTGGTCTGCATCGCCTTCGCCGCTTTTGCCATCGGCATCCTGCTGACTGGGGCGCTGTGGTTCATCCACACGCATACAGGTGATTCGCCGTGTTGTAAGTGCATGGAGTTTTTGCCCCTCCCTTTACTACTACTACTACTTACTACGACTACTACTACTACAACAACTACTACTATAACTGCTACCACTACTACTGCTGCTGCTGCTGCTGCTGCTGCTGCATATACGTACCAACCTACCTACCTACCTACTGCCGTCGTCAGTGAACTGACCATATTGTTGTTTCGATAGTGGTGTGAAATATGGGAAACGTGCTGACAAAATGAGGAACTTCTTGGATTCAAGCCTTGTGGAAATAGATTCATAATGCTTATAGGAGAAGTTTTTACAATTTATAAGTATGAAATAATAAAAGCACGTTATACTGAAAGAATATGGCATCAATAGGAAAGGTACAAATTTGACCCTCGTGTTGATTTTTGGTCAATATCTTCATTTGTGGATTGCGAGAAGTAACTCATTTTATCAGCACGCCTCACACACATATGATCATTTACAACTCAATCACTTATGTGTCATCAGCACAGGGTGAACGTACACATGTGTTTGTGTGTGTGTGTGTTTGAGTATATATGTGTGTGTGTGTTTGTGTGTGTGGATTCCTGCGTGCGCGTGGAGGATGCTTGTGTGTGAATGTAAGAATGAGCACGCACATGTACATTGTGTTAATGTGCATGCACATACATGTGTGTGCGTGTATCTGTTCGTATACTTATGCATGTATGTATGTATTACCAGCGCGAGCACACACACACATGGATGGATGTGAGCTCACCTCAGTTGTGCAGTGCACAGAACAACGGAGACCGGTAGACTGGTAGAGGGTTTTACGGTGCTCGCAACCGCATATGGTCATATGAGCGCCAAGGGGTGGGTGTCAAAAGAGAAGTCTTTACAGGGAATCAGATTTAGACTGCTCACCTATCTAGCTTCAACAGCACAAGGTCTGCTTCGACTATCAAGGCACCCCAAAATAGCAGGTCACAAGAGAGTGACAAAGATACAAAAGAAGTAGAGGAAAATGACAATAGTGAGGTTCAGGAAAGAAAAAGCAGCAGTTCCCTGTTGTAGATCAGGCACAGTTATTAGCGTGACATGAGTCAGCCCATTTACAATTCTACTATGCTTGAACGAGAAATGTCCCCCCTTTGGGAATGGCCTAAAGACACTTCAGTCAGTGGCACTGCCTTGGGGGATGTTGTTTCTCTGTTGTCTGTGAACCCACACTTTTTGTTGTGGTAGCTTGTCTTGTTTTGGTGACTTACATCTTGTGGTGGTGACTCCTGTGGTCTTGTTGTGACTTATGCCATTTTTATGGTGACTAATCTTGTTACCCATGCGATCTTGTGGTGACTTACTGTGACCTATTTTGCCTCATAGTGACTCCTCATGTATTTTTACTTAAACAATCTTCCAATTTGTTTGGGTATCACTTCTTAATCAGTTATTTTTTTAAACAAATTTTTAGTAATTTCATGGGTCAGGGATGAGGAAATAAAAATGATATTTTCTCTGCTCTAGAGTGTGCAGATGTTAATGAGTGCATGTCTTTCTGCGCACTGGTATAATAATATGTGTACATCTGTACGTGTGTGTTTGAATGTGCTGGGGTGTATGAATGTCTGTGTATATATACCTTGTAAGCAGTACAGGGAGAAGCAAGCTCTGTTCAACCTACCACTGCCCCTGCCCCCTGCCCTCTGCCCCCACGCTCTCCTACCCACCCCTGCCTCTCCCTCCACCCTCCCTTGCCTCTCCCCCTGCCCCTCCTCCAGGTCCCAGGTGGGTGGTTAGAGTGCCATCGATAGGTTCTTCTTTTCTTTCCCTCAGTTGCTTCTGTCTTTCTTGCTTTTTCCTTGCACTAAATGACCATTATTGTGGCAATGTGCTTCTCTTTACTCAAACTTTTTCCTACACTAAATATCTATTATTGTATGGAAGTGCCTCTCTTTACTCAAACTTTCCCCCAGGTCTAAATGTCTATTATAATGTAGATGCACTTCACTTTACTCAAAACTTTATCCCAGCACTAAATCACAACCTCCGAATTACAAAGTTTTATCTGAAGTTTTTGGCTTTCTGGAGTTACTATGACTATGAGGTCGGAAACCAAATGTTCTATATCTGCTCTGTCAAAATTGTAGATATTTTTCGGAGTTGTTATCCAGGTATTTTTAAAAAAGCATCCGCCAAAGCTTGACATAATTATTGTGAAACTCCAAAATCTTTTGACATCAAATTTATCAAAACTAGGTACCGAGCAGATAGAACTTTGTAATTTTAAGGTAGCGAAATGTCTATTATAAGGTAGATGTGTTTCTCTTTACTCTAAACTTTTTCCCCCACTCACATGCTCACCATTTTGTGAATGTGTTTCTCTCTACTCAAGCTCACTCTCTCATCCTGTGGATGGCTGGCGGGTGCCCTGGTGTGGTTTACTCATTCTGTCCTATCAAACACATCTATCGCCCTGAACTCTCCTCTGTCTTTTTTGTTTTTGTTACTTTCGTGCAACACCTCTAGTCTTCGGCACCTATATAACCTTATTGTGTTGCAAGTGCTGTAAAACTCTTACATCCCCCCCCCCTCCCCCCAGGGCAGTGCTACTGACTGAAGTGTCTTTGGCCATTCTCAAATGGAGGATATTTTAACATGTTCTTATGCACAGACGAAGTGTAAATGGGCTGATTTATCAATGTCATGCTCACACTGTTCCGAAACAACAAAAGGGGAACTTCTGCTTGTTTTCCTTCATCCTTACTATCGTCATTTTCCTCTACTTTTTTGTATGTTTGTCACTCTCTTATGAATCGCTATTTCCGGGATGCTTTGATGGTCAAAGCAGACTTTGTAGTGTTGAAGCTAGAGAGGTGAGCAGAGTAAGCCTGATTCCCTGCATGGACTTCTCAGTTGACTTCCACCCCTTGGCGCTTATTCCTTATGCAGTTGCGAGCGCCGTAAAAACTCTTCTAATACTAAAAAACTTCTATAAACTCTTACTAAATGTATTTTAAAAACTCTCATCCCCAGGTCCCATCAAACGCGGTGTGGCCAGTCACGGAGAGGCCGAGGCCAGCGGTGACCTCACACCCAACTCCTCCTCCCCCTGGACAGCTTGAGGGGTCACACAGGGGTCATCAACGCAGTTATAGGTCAAGGTCAGGACTTGCAGACAGAAGAAACTGGACGTGCGGGCAGAAGACATAAGAGAGCGAAGGAAGTGTGCGAAGATTCCGGAAAACTCGGGAGCTCTGAATAGGAGGATGATAAACCGCAAACTTCACAACAAGGGGATCGTTTGAGCTTCCGTGCAGATTTTGCGCTGGCTGATTGCGTGTCACAAAGATGGTGTTGGTGTGTTACGAAGATGGTGATGGCGTGCTGTCCAAGATGGTGGCTGTTGCGTGTCGTGAAGATTTATTGCTCTGATGGAGAGTCATCTCTACTACATGGTCGTTGTCGACATAAGATTGGTGAAAACTGCTCGGCGTAATTCTCTCTCTCTCTCTCCCTTTGTGTTGGAAAATGGTTTCGCTTTATTGAGTCAACTATAGCTTATACTGCCTGCAGTGTCACAAAAGGCTGGGTTCAGAACTACAACTATCTCTGATACAAAATTGCAGATATCCCTTGTGCAGAATGTTAAATATCTCTCGAACACAACCTGCAAATATTTCTGTACTACCAGACTGCCCTTGATGAAGGCAGCAGTTTAAAAACATTTCTGTATCTCAGTAACATCACGCGGTTCAGGAGACAAAAACAACTGCTCAGAAACCAGTATTGTAGGAAATCTTAGATCATCTTAACATTAACATCTGTTTGTATACATCGATATTTGAGCATATATCGATATATATAATTATAATAGATTATCTGAAAGCTAGCCTGTTTTAAACCATCTACTTATGAGCAAGTTGATAGTGATTGTTGC